CTTAGGAACCCCCAGGACATCTTTAAACATTCCAACATCCGAATTATAGGGCAACCAAAAGGGGAAGAGGAAGAGCGACAAGTGGAAAACTTACTTGAACAAATAATAAAGGAGAACTTCCCCAATCTGGCAAAGGAAATAGACTTCCAGGAAATCCAGGAAGCTCCTATAGTTCTAAAGAAGCTGCACCCAAGAAGGAACACACCAAGGCCCATCATAATTACATTAGCCAAGATTAAAATGAAGGTGAGAATCCTAGAAGCAGCAAGAGATAAGGGGACTGTCACCTACAAAGGAGTTCCCATCAGACTGTCAGCTGATTTCTCAAAAGAGACCTTACAGGCAAGAAGGAGCTGGAAAGAAGTATTCCAAGTCATGAAATCCAAAGACCAAGATTGCTTACATCCAAGATTGCTCTATCCAGCAAAGCTTTCATTTAGAATGGAAGGGCAGATAAAGTGCTTCTCAGATAAGATCAAATTCAAGAAGTTAATCATCACCAAGCCTTTGTATGAAATGTTAAAGGGACTTATCTAAGAAAAAGATAAAGGCCCTGGCTGGCGTAGCTCAGTGGATTGAGCGCGGGCCTGCAAACCAGAGTATCGCCTGGGTTGCAGGCCAGTTCCCAGCAGGGGACTCAAGAGAGGCAACCACACATTGATGTTTCTCTCCCACTCTTTCTCCTTCCCTTCCCCTCTCTCTAAAAATAAATAAATAAAATATTTAAAAAAAAGAAAAAGATAAAAATATGAACAGTGAAAGGATAGCAAACTCACAGTTATTAACAACCACACCTAAAACAAAAGCAAACTAAGGACAACTAGACCAGGAGCAAAACCATAGAAATGGAGATCACATGGAGGGTTAGCAACAGGGGAGTGGGAGGAGAAGGTACAGAGAATAAGTAGCATAGACGGTAGGTAGAAAATAGATGGGGGCAGGGCAAGAATAGTATGGGAAGTACAGAATCTAAAGAACTTGTGACACATGGACATGAACTAAAGGGGGGAATGGTGGGGGAGGGGGTGTGCAGGGTGGAGGGGAATGAAGGGGGGGTAATGGGACCACTGTAATGGCATAATCAATAAAGTATATTTTTAAAAAGTGACTTTCCTTGAGTTTGTTGAAAAAATCCACTTTTGTGAAGAACCTGTGCTGGATTGCGTGAAGCTTTAATAGAATTTAAGTCGTTCTTTCTGTAGGACAGCTCAGAAAGTCCTCATTTTAAGGGTAAGAAAATGGAGACGGGGGTTACAGTGGTTTCCCTAAATTTCCTGTCAGTGAAGTGGAAGGAGAGCGCACGTTCTGTTAGGACCTAGGGCTGGAGGCTTGCACCACTGTTCTGTTCCCGAGTTAAGTCCTGCGGGCGTGTGTGGCAGGGTGGGCGACACAGCCACTCAGCAAGCTGTGGGGGAGCATTCGGAGAAGCGCCCTTGTCTTCTCCCTGTCCCTGCAGCAGCCGGCAGGGAGCTGGGTCAGTCAGTTCCTGGGTAATTATTGAGTGAAAACTGAGTTACCAAATAAATTGCTTGTGGTATTTTAAGGGAGTTCTCAGAAGGTGATTGCGATCGATTTAAATGTATATTAGCGTATTATGCACACCCATCAGTCGGGAATGGGGGGCACGTGGAGGAGAGAGGACTGCATTCAGTTTTCGTTTACAGGCAGTAATGGGTGGGGCCCTTGGTTTTGTTACATGAAACTGAGCCTGTAGCATAAATGCCTTTGGGCGGAAGATCAGGAATTTCACATAACCAGCTCACACCTGACCTGTGTGCTGGAGAATGTGATGATACACTTGCTCCTTTGCCAGAGGCACTAGTACAGCTTTCTGCAGGTTTACTTTGGTTAACAGGATCTACTAGAAATGAAATAATGTTTTAAAATAGCAGTACTTAATTTTCCCACAACCTTCCGAGGTGCCAGCTCCCAGTAAAAAAACAGCGGTTGGGTGTGGATAAGTGATGACGTTCGGCCTACACTTAGGTCTCCTGGTCACCCGTGCAGGGGAACCCAGAACAACCCTGAAACTCACCCAGTCTGAAGCAGGCCACTGTCTCAACTGTGGATTTGCCACCAAGTATTTGAGAGGAATGGGAGGGGCGGGCGGTGGGGTGCAGTGGGCAGGGCGTGGCTTGTGGAGGAGGTGTTATTGGGGCATCATTTTAAAGATTTTATTTTTTAGAGAGAGGGGAAGGGAGGGAGAAAGAGGGAGAGAAACATCATTGTGTGGTTGCCTCTCATGTGCCCCTCACTGGGGAGCTGGCCTGCAACCCAGGCATGTGCCCTGACTGGAAATGGAACCGGCAACCCTTTAGTTTGCAGGCCTGCGCTCAATCCACTGAGCTACACCAGCCAGGGCTGGGGCGTCATTTTAAATTTACACCCATTTCAGTCCCTGTCAGAGACTTTCAGCAAAGATTGGATAAAGAATTTTGTTGCCTACTATATTGTCATAATCATGGTTTGAAAAGGTGTATAAATTTCTTGCCCATATATTCATATATTTTTAAAAGAGAAAAGTATATTTTCAAGAAGCAATTAAGATTCCTATGGGTTTTCCATGTTTTTTTTCCTTTCCGTGTTTTATTAAAATATGCCGTAAAGGACTAACTTGTTTTTCTTTCTCATTTCCATGCAGGAAGGAGAAAAATACGGTTCAGGTAACTGATGTTCCCATTGTTCACTAGTGTTTTGACTGAGGATCACTGTGGAAAGTTTCACTGTGTGCTAGATTCCTAGTTTAAAATGCCTGTGATCTTTTATAGGAACTTCAGCTTTTGCAATTTCGCTAGTGAAGGATCTGACAGGTAAGTTAAAGGATGAGAATCCCATACAGTTTTGAAGATGTAAGTTTGGTTGAGAACTAACTTACTCTTTTACAACCAGTAGAAGCCTGTTGGTTGATTCAAAGCTAAGGACAGGAATGGAACTGCCCGGTCCTGTTGAGAGTGAATCTATAAAGTAGAATTCCTGATGTTTCTTTGGTAGTTACTGCTGCAGTCAGAATTTAGGAACACATCTAATGGCCTCTGTCAAGTCCTCTGTCACTTCACAGAGCAAGGAGTTGCAGGCACAGAGGGTCCCCTGCAGTTCTCCCTTCCACAAAGGGCCCGAGTTGGGGGGAGCCTGCTGTAGAGAAGGGAACCTAACTGCATGTATTGGTTATCGTCAACTCGTTTAAGACACTGAGCAACTCGAGACAAAAATCTGTGTAAGCTTTCAGCAGCGGCTTTAGTGCTTCCTTTTGACTTTTTAAAAGAACTTATAAAATTTATAGTTGCCTAATGAATATTCTCAGAATTAACAGGTAAAGATTCTCCTGTGAGTTTCCTTTCTCGCACACACACTGCTAGGGTGTTGTGGGCTTTGGGTAACAAAAGGTTTGTAGATTTTTTTTCACTCACCAGCGGTAAGAAGTATACTTTACATCACATATACTTAAAATACATAGGTGTGTGTGTAAAATTAAAAGTTTTACAATAAAGCGATACATTCTGTTTTCTAATCTGCTGTTGTAGTCTATCCTTTTTCCTTAAAAAAAAAATAAGATCATGATCCAACATCCATTTCGAGACCCACACACATGGGTGTGTCTTCTCATAGGTGGAGCTCCGAAGAGTCCGTTTCAAGGTGGGCCCACAGGGGCACAGGACATAGAACCTCTAAACGTGCTGCAGCTTCACTCGCCTTTATGTCTGGCTGAGATGCTCTGTGCCCTGGTGTGTGTCACCTCCCTGCACTTTTGGTCTAATGGGCTGAAAAGTTCAAGGGCATCACTGGACAGCCGGTGAAGGAACAGAGGGAAGCAGACAAAACAAGACCAAACTGGAATTGGGCTGCTCTCTGCATCTCACTGAGCTGGGCACTAGCCGTGGAGTAGTTCTCGTGTTTGGTGTCCTTTCCCCAGTCCCGGCGTCCAGTTCTGCCTTTGCATCCCAGCCTGCCCTCCGGGTGGGCGGTGCAGGCTGGGTGAGAGGCAGGGGAAGGTGTGTGTGCGTGCACAAAGGTAGGCACTCGGTGGTATATCCGAGTACGTTCTGCCTCATCTAAAACTAAAAAAAAACAGCCCTGCATTTTTTCATTTTTTCCTTCTACTAATCTCTGTTATTAGATTTTTATACGCTTTAGATATTTGCCTTTTCTAAGTCTTAAGTTTATACAGGTGCACACCTAATACTATATAACTTAGTTTTAAAAAAATGATAGTGGGCAAGATCAGATCCTTTTTCTGTCTCACTTTAGGACTGAAGGGGGCAAAAGTAGGTTTTAGGTTGCATTCCTTTCTGTGGGTGATTGGAAATGCTGTTGAAGTGATTTGTACATTCAGATACATTGAGAACTGTAGTTTGGGAAATACAAAAGCTTAACTCTGTTCCCTAGAAGTATTTCTGTATAAGCAGTCAATCTTGGATTACATGTCCAGTTAGGTAAAAAGTGAGTGGAAACCAACACCTGAACTCCCCCAGTTTGTGCTCATATTCAGTGTTACCAGTGGTCTCCCTGTCCTCACCTCGAGATTCTGTCCTCACTCAAGAGGTGCCCTTCCCCCTTCGGTGTGGAGAGAAAATGAAGGGACTCCACCCTCTCCCAGAAGAAGAGATGTTGAGAAGCCTTGGACACAGCTACAGAGCAAAGGGGCCAGGCTCAAAGTTTCAGGAACTAAAAGAGATTCCTGTTTACATAAAAATGGCAGTGGTTCTTTTTCTTGGGACCAACATAGGTGTTTGAAAATCTGATAAAACTGGATTGTCTACCCCAATCAGCAGACATACATGCAGTCCCCACTGTAACATGCCCAAGGGGATAGAAGAACCTGTTCAGGGCACGTCTGTTGAGTTAACCCTATGATCCTCCCAGATGGTGATGGAGTTTTGGGGTGGGACAGGAATAGCACAGTTGGCATTAGTTTCTTCTAAGCTGATGTTGTCACTACATGTTACTACTAATCATGGGTCAGCGTTGTATTTCATTTGCTCAGAATGTGGCTGCCCTCTTACCTGCTATAGGCGGTCCAGAAAGGATACCCATCCCAGCAAAGAAGCTGGAAAGTCCCAACATCTTGTAACCCATCAAGTTCCCGGACAGGTCAACCTGCAGGGAACAGAATTCAGCATCCTGAATGTACAGATGAGCCACACCGTGGGGGAGTTCTGTGGACGCCTGTGCCTACCAAGGGGCAAATCCTGCTTATGTCATCTCAGGCTGTGACCCATGGACTCCTGAGGTGACGGGGATGACCTGTGCCCTGATACTGAGAAAGAGCTGAGGCCGATAGGGACCAGTGACAGGGCTGGGCAGGTGGTGTTTTCCTTTCATTACTAAGGAACTTTGGTTCTTTGTTTCTTTTTTAGTCTTATAGGTAGTTCAGGAGTACTGGCCCCCGCCCACCAACCTTACTGCTCTTCTGTATTAGGAAATGGAATTCACAGTCTAGCTGAGTGGTATTCTCCAACCCGCCTGAGGCTGAGTTCCAACCACTGGTTTGTAAGATACTGTAATGTGAGGAGTTGGTGTCAACCTGGAGGCCGGGCTTTTGCCTGAGCCTCGCAGGATGTCCTGCAGCCCTTAGCTAACACTGACGTGAGGCCAGAACTTTTGCAGGGACTGCGTTCTGGCACTCTGGGGGCCTGGTTCTAAGAACAACCCAGGAGTTTGTATTTCAGTTTGATTTGTGTCCAAGACTTAAGTCATTTGGGGGTAAAAATGAGGAAGAGTTTTTTAAAGAGCTCCTGTTGAAATACATAGAGATTCTCTCAGCAAGAGAAGCCACGCTGGGCAGGAAGGGCCTTCTTTCGCCAAGAACACTTTGATATTGTGTCTCAGAAGGAGCCAGGGAGTGGCTGGAGCTCAAGGGGAGAGGCGAGCAGAAGCCCGGCCTGGGAAACTAAGCAAAATGGAATCCCGCGGGTCCCGTATTTCTCTCACTTCTCTCCTGCGTGGACAGCCCTCTCCACGTTCCATCGCCCAAGGTTAGATGAATGACGACCAGGTGTGGCTGCAGGGTTTCTGAGGCCCTGGGCATGGTGGCTTTTAATTACATAATTATTGCAAAGTATGTCTTCTGTTTGGGGAAGAGCGTTATATTACTGCTCCTTGCTCTGCTTTTAAACAGTTTGACAATGTTAATGAGCGTGTCTACTCACCAGTACGGGTAATATCAGTGCCATGTAACCACCGGAGAAAACGGCAAAGACGATGACGTAGGTCATGAGTAGTGGGAACGTGGTGGCCAAAGGAGCAAGCAGGTTGGTGATGCCACAGAGGAGCAGGTAGAACTTGTGGTAATGGTACCTTCTGGTCCAGTTCTGATCAGCAACCCATCCAGAGAAAATCTGACTGACTACCTCAGTGATACCTGGAACGGTTTTGAAAAGGTCTCATGAAACCTAATTCCATTTCCAGAGCCCCTTCAAAAAATGTGAACACCTACATCATGTTTTCCTAAGTCAACCGGAGGCTAGGAGGACATAGGAGGAAGAGGATGCTTTCCTGTGTCTCTCCGTAGATCACATCGTTTACTTACGTATTCCAAATACATAAAATCGCAAAAGGTTCACACCACCAAGCTAGGAATCCCTGGTTACAGAGAACCCGCACTCGGGAAGCCTTCCTCAGAGTGACCTGAATGTGGGCGAGGAAGCACGATTTCTTCAAGGCCGGCAGGCCCTCGGGTCCGTGTCTGGGGAAGTCAGGGGGCCATGGGGTGGGTGGTGACTGGAGTGTAAATAATAAAGACTGGCGTTTCTTTAAAAAATGCAGAACTCCTTATATTCCAGTATTTGAGGTTTCGATAAGTCCAAAGTTGATTATGCTTGGTTTGAAACCGTGTAGGAAATCTGGAAATGGGAGATTATATTTTGAACACTGGGGCTGTGATGTAACTAGAATAAAATGTAAGGACCCCATTTTTGCTCAATTTCATGATATGAAACATTCTTGATCGTTTACACTGTTGAAAGCGAAAGTACTGGTTAAACGCCAAGAGATGGGCATGAACTGCAGTTAATATTCCAGATCCTTCCTACAGTTCAGACAAAGTACACACACACGCCCCACATGCGTGCGTGAAAGGAAATAAAATACAGAACACTACCATTTCTGTTTCCCAGGATACATACTTAGTCTTAATGTTACACTCTTTTGTTCTGTTGGATAGCCCTAATCTGATCTAGATTGACAAAAAGCCAGTTTAGCTTTGCGCTTTCCCTGTGTGCATGCACAGGCTGAAGCCGACGCCTCTGCGATCGGAAATGAAGTGCGGTCAGTCTGTGAGGACTTGGTACATAGTCGGGCAAGGGATTAGCAAGCAGGCAGTCAGCATTGAGCCACGGAGAGGTGCCAGGTAACGGCACACCGGTTCCATTTCATCCCTGCCCACTGATTTAGGCTTCCTCTTTGGTCAGGCGAAGGAGCCCGGACTGGATCAAGCATCCTGTTCCCATACATTTTTATGCTTAACTGTTTTATTTTTTAACTTCTAATTTATTTTAAATATCAGCAGATCCATTAGTGATTAGCCTCAACAAGCATAATTATGCCTTATTGTGAGTTCAAGGGGGAAGGTAGCTACAAATGTTACTAGAGCATTATAGAGTGCTCACAATGGGCCAGGCACTGGGCTGAACCTCAAGATGCATTACTTGTTTAATCCTAATGGCCCACAGGCCCGCGAATCAAAGGATCGCTGTTCGATTCCCAGCAGGGGACGCACAAGAGGCAACCATACATCGGTATTTTTCTCCCTCTCTCCTTCCCTTCCCCTCTAAAGATAAATAAAATCTTTTAAAAAAATGCTAATGGCCTTATCAGGATGCATACTATTATTCCTATGTTACAGATGAGGAAACTGAGGTACAGGGACAGCCTGTGACTTGCCCAAGGTAGCACAGCTTGGAAGTACAGAAAAGTTGAACCCAGGAAGTCTAGCCACAGAACCAAAGCTTTCAACCACAGTGCTAAGCTCTCTACCTAGAATTTCTTTTGCTTCCTTGAGTGGCAGTTGCCACTAAGCACTAACTTTTAAAAAATACCCTGGCTGGCTGACGTGGCTCAGTAGATTGAGTGCTGGCCTGTGAACCAAAGGGTCACAGGTTCAATTCCCAGGCGGGGCATATGCCCAGGTTGTGGGCTAGGTTCCCAGTAGGAGGCATGTGCACGGCAACCACACGTTTCTCTCCCTTTCTCCTTCGCTTTCCCTCTCTCCCAAAATAAAAATTAAAAACTTACAGTATTTTCCAATTAACAATGTCCATCCACTGGGTCAGATGGGCACCTGTGAAAATCTACTAAGACCTTCCTCCTCGGTTGTGTGAGGTTGAAGTAGGCTTTCTCACCTGCAACAGAAACGAGGTAGGAGGCGTCCGTGAGATCAATCCCCAGCGTTCTGGCTCTGGCCACCAGGTGGAAGGCGGAGACCATATATGCCAACTGACTGAAGAGAAGAGACCACGTGAATATGCAGAAGAAAGGATTCTTCAAAAGAGAAACATCACAGAGTTGTTTACAGCTCCACGAGATACCCTTTCGCTCGAAACTCCCTTCGTTCATTACTAGGAACAGCCTGTTCCTGTTTGGCCCGTGGCTGACCTCTTCCTTTTGATCTTGGGAGTCTATTGCATTTGTACGGGCTGCTCCAGCCTTCTGCACAGCACCGTCCCTGACCAGAGACACTTGCGTGGCCCTGCAGTGGGATGGGTCCGGCCCGCACGCTGCCTTCAGGCCACTTGCAGACGAACTGCTCCCTTTATCTTTCACATCAGAATTGTTCTCGTTTGTGACCTGGATGGGTCTCAAGAGCATACTAGAAGGCACCAAGTTCAGAATGATCGCTCCAAATAATACAAGGGCACCTAAAGAGAAATTGAGAAGTGAAAAATTGCTTGTCATTTCACGATACTGCGTTCTCAGGCTCTGCCACTAAAAGCTCAGTGCAATTCCTTAAGATGCTGCTTTGTCCCCTGATTTAAACTGAAAGTATTTAGATGTGATGACTTAATTGTTAGCTGTACACACTGCTATGTCCTTGTGAAAATGGTGTTTTTTTGTAGATGTGGTACCAAAAAGTGGCCCCAGTAGGTGGTGTGGAAGGCAGTGTCATTTGTGCTAAGGGAAAAAAGAATAAGGGTTTTCTTAGGGTGAGGGGAGAGATTTCAAATGTTGAACAATTACGTTGTCTCTTAAATGGGGATTTTAAATATTCTGAGGTGGGTATACACTTGGGCGTAATAAACATAGGACCTCAAGATGGAATCATTGGGAAACTGCGGTGGAAAAGGGGATCGCCTTTCATCTCCCAACAATTTCCTTGAAAGGAGACAGATGCCAGTGTCCCCTTTGAGGCTGAGCAGGTGCCTGGTTTCAGGGTGGCCCGCCAGCGCTGTGACTGGTGTGTGGTGCTTCCAGAGACAGACTCAGCCGAGGCTCTGCTCATGCGTCACGGCGCTGTCTGTGAGTCCTGTTCACCACGACACTGCTGATAGTTTTCATTCTTAGCAAAGGGCAGACTGCACAGCTGCCCTGGGGTATATGTTTATCTGGAAACAGGCATATCCACACACGTGTGCTATTTTCCCAGTCATGTAAGATTGCTTAATCCAAGTATCTAAGGCACAAAGAAAACTGTGGAGGGAATGATTTTCATTCACTTGTGAAAATTTATAGTTGACTATATAAAAGACTAAGTATTAAGGGACATAATCCTCTTTTTACCCAATGCTTTCTTTTTTGGTTCTGTTTTAGTAAGGGTGATGGAGAAGGCATTTTTTTTAATGCAGCTTTTTTTCTTAAAACCTGAAGAAAGAGTGGAAGGGAAGGGGAAAGGGGAGTCCTTGTTTCCCCAGGAGCATTGCTGTCCCTGGAGGGGTTTCAGTGCCCTCAGGGCCCCCAGGCCGAACTTGGAGTTGCCACTGGCAGATCCTGTATGTAGGTAATTCAAGATTCCTCCGTGTCTTCTCCAGGGAGGAGGAGCGTGTTTCCTTTAGAAATTATTTCCACTCTGGCTTCAAACATCTTCACTTCCAGCCATCAAAGGGAGAAAGCTGAACAGGAAATGGTGCAGAGTTCATAGGTCAGAAACTTAGAATGACTCACCTGTCCAGTCGTATAACTCTATCAAGATTTTTGCAAAAGGTGCCAAGAGAAATGTCAGCCCCGTCCCTGAACGGGCAATGGCTGTGGAAAGCGCTAATCGTTTTTTGAAGTATTTGCTAGTTATCAGCAGAGCTGATTGGTACAAGAAAGCGGAACCCAAACCTAAAAACAAAACAATAGGTTGGAATCAAATGAAGTGCCGTGGTGCCGGATCAGATATTCTCCCGGACCTGAGACCATAAAATAAGCCTTTTGAACCCACAGACCATGAACGGTTTCTAGTTCCCTCGTCAGCCTTTTTGCAGTGGACTCACCAGGTAAAAGTCCCATAGTCACCAAAAGGAAGGGGATGCTTGTAGCCCGGCTGCTGATCAGATACGCACCGGAAACAAGAAAAGCCCCAAGAAGGGAGGTGGTTTTCTCTCCATATCTCTGACCAATAATGGAAGCCACGGGACCTTGGAAAAAGAAAGAGAAGCCAGTACTAGGTGAGTGTGCTGTGGCCTTTCTCACCTCCTGATGTGCAGCTGAAGTGAGCAGCTGCCAGTAAACAGGACTCGACCTGGGAGGACTGTATGTTCTTCAGAGGTCTCCATATTGGATTTCTTACCATTCCCAGTCCCACATTATTTTGCTTTTAGGAAAAAGAGGGTGTTTGTTTGTTTGTTTGTTTGTTTGTTTGTTTTAAGGAAAGGACTGTCAATATGCAGGTTTGGAAGGAAGAATTACTCAAAACACATTGCAAAACCTCCATAAAATGAGATTGCATCTGGTGACCTATGACTTGAACGAGCTTTGCTCATTAATCTCCACCCCATGGCAGCTCCATGCAGAACTAAAGGAACAGGAAGTGGCTCTGCATTTGTTTTGAATAGGCTGAGACCATCAAACCAGGACTCCAGGATCTGACTGCCCAGCGAGTGACTGGCTCACTGAGCCCTGGTTAAGGCCCCGTGGAAAGGAACAAAGTGTGAAACATTCAGCGATGGAATTAAATAGTTGGATTCTTTAACTTGCTTTGCTCAAGCTCGAATTTTTCCAACTTTGCCAAGTCTTGTGGAGAGACTTAACACTGCAAGCAAGTCTTGACTTTGCTCAGCTTTACACATTAACAAATGAGCCTGAGTCAGCAATGCCACGGTCGTGTCTTGAATGACAGATGAGTCTTGGAAATGCCCACCCTCTGCGATCCCACTCCTTGGACAGCGAGCTTATGGGCGGCTTCATACCTCCAGAAAAAGAGACCGATGCCATGATGGAGCCGATCCACCCAGTTTGCTCCGAGGTGCTTTCAAACTCTTCTTGAAAAACCACAAAGAAAACCGCAAAAGTCTTTATCATTCCCAACACAAACACGTTTACCTAAAAAGCAGACCAGAGTCCCAGTCAGGTGGTGAACCAGCCCCTACAGAGGAGGTCACAACCACTCCGAGGTTCTGATTCCCCCAGCATTTACCAGGTCTCGGGGTGATTCCTCGGACATTTGATATTTTGCAGGGTGGTCACCCCCTGAGGGTTTCTCTGAGCACCTTACATTGTAAGTGCCTCATTGAATCCATCCAAGGCTGTGGAATAGGTGGGTCACTGTTGTAGTAGAGATCAGGAAACCAACGGTTAGAGCTTAAAAGTTGCTGAAGACGGAGGTGCTGGAGCCGAGAGCGGAACCTAAAGAGACTGACTCCAGACCAACCGCTACCCTGCTGTTTTTTGAGTGACGTGAACCAAGTCCACTTACCTTAGTGAGAGAAACTAAGGGCCAAAAGATGAATTGTTCCCATCAATTCTTAGGTTACATTTGCTCTCACTCAGCTCGAGCTGAGTACCCTGCCCCTCGCTTCACATATAAATAGGGTAACTATATAATGTATCCAAATTGAAAACACTTTTTGGCTGCTGTTAATTTGCACCAGGGGAACGAGAGTAAACGAGGTCACCTGGTTGGGTCAGGTGCCCTTCCTTTTCCTGTGCCCCACCTAACCCTCCTTATCTGCACCACCTCCCCCCTCCACTAGTAGGAGCACTCCTTTGAGGTCAGGGTTTGTTTGTTTGATTGTTTTGGTGCTGACATTTGTTTCCTGGAACTCTGACTAGCCTGGCGCAGTGAAGAGCAGGGCTCGGGAGGGAAGAAGCCACCTATTCAGATTCCAAGGTCGCCCACCCTGCAGACCTTTCCGAAGGTCCCCGGGGCCTTCCTAGCTTCCCATTTCTTTCTGTCAGTGGCCTTGGTTTTTCAAGGCGACTTTCTGTGCTCTCATCCTGGCCATGCATTACCTAAGAATCACAGACCTTGCCCTAGCTGGTGTGGCTCAGTGGATTAAGTGCCGGCCTGAGAGATAAAAGGTCACCGGTTTGATTCCCACTCAGGGAACACGCCTGGGTTGTAAGACAGGTCCCTAGTAGGGGGCGGGAAGAGGTAACTGATTGATATATCTCTCACACATTGATGTTTCTCTCCCTTCCCCTCTCTCTAAAAATAAATAAACTTCAATTTTTAAAAAAAGAATCACAGACTCTGAGTGCTCTGTGAGTGATTTCACTTTCTCTGCCCACCTACTGAAAAGTCCCCCTCCGGTGTCTGTATTCATGTCACTTTGTCTTATATTTGCCCCATAGGCAGTCATTTGCGCTCCGGGTTTTCATCGCCACCCACGCAGTGGTGTGGAAGCTGCTGTTCTGCAGAGTCAGCCTCCTTGGCCTGGCTCCTGGCTCCACTTCCTCCCGACGCCGACGGTGTAACCTTAGGCGAACTCTTTCATAGACGTTAAGCTTCCTCTTTTGTAAAGCGGAGGTGAAGTAAAGGTTAGCTAGCTCACAGGACTGTGAAGATTCAGAAAGTTCCCATCAAGTACTTAATACTTTATTCTGGGGTTAAACCCTGACGAACCCGTCATACATTGAAAATATCCTTTACTTGAAGAAGCATCAAAGAAACCTAAGCTACCGAACATCATAGCTTAACCTACCTTACAGGTGTGTCCGAACACCTACAGTTGGGCAAAACCGTCTAACTCAAAGACTATTTTGCAACAGAGCATTAAATTATCTTGTAGTTTGCCCTGGCTGATGTAGCTCAGTGGATTGAGCTCGGGCTACAAATTAAGGGGTCACCAGTTCGATTCCCAGTCAGGGCACAGGCCTGAGTTGCGGGCCAGGACCCCAGTGGGGACCACGTGAGAGGCAACCACACATTGATGTTTCACTCCCTCTCTTTCTCCCTCCCTTCCCCCCTCTCTAAAAATAAATAAATAAAATCGTTAAATTATCGTGTAATTTATTATTGCTTTTTCACCACCAAAAAGTGGAAAAATCATTAGCTCAAACCGTCGTAATTCGGGATCATCAACTAGCACTTAACAGTCAAACTATTCACTACTATCGTATTATCTTGGACCACCAGGGTCCCCTCCCAGGAGTTTCAGAGGCCTCTTTAGAACCCTTTACCGTCTCTCTCCAACTCAAGGTGACTCATCTCAGATGAAAACCCCGCCCTTACCCCAGGCCCGTTTTTCCAGCCACTCGGCCAGGTCAGAGGCAGACTCCTCTCAGCCACCTCATCCCCCTCCCTGCTCAGGAACCCAGGCCGTCCCTCCGTCCCCAGGGAGACTCTTGGTTCAGACTAGTGTTATCTCTCGTCTGCGGTCAGGGACCTAGAATCAGCAGCGGTGCTCTGGGGCTGTGGGGGTTGGGGTGGTGAGGAGGCAGTCAGTCTCCCAATATGTTTTCCCCATTGTGAGGTTGGTAGAAGTTACCAGTGTTCCGTGATGAAGAGTGAACAATGCTGTGGCCACCGGGGCTATGTATTCAGAGTGAATAACATTTCACCAGGCCCTCATTCGGACAGCTCATAATCAGAGTGTTCCCAAAGTGTTTCTATCAGGCACTGGGGCTGGAGGACCTGCCAGGACCTCAAAGGCCCCAGACGTGTTTCTGCCAGTTCCGAACCCAGAGTGGTGACCGCACCCTGTCGTCAGCCAGGAACGCCACAGTGAGGTGCCATTCCGGGAAACATCTTTCCTCTTTTTCTGCGGACATGGGTTCTGGGCTAGCATCTGAAGGGGGCTGGCCTCTGCACCCTGAATTTGGCTAGCCCCTGGGCCCCCCAGTTCCTAACCTGTCCTCTCCGTCCTGTCTCTGCAGCCTGGGCACAGCAGCAGTGAGTGGACATGACTTGTCTCTAATAACCGAGTCTGCGACTTCCACTGCAGATGCCAAGAAAGCCGAGGTCTGCCTTGGCATCTACCCTGCCTCCCTTCCCTTAACTCGTAACCTTCCAACTTTGTTCCTGTTCCACTGAAAGATATTTTTTAAAAAATGTCCTGGAGGATTTCCCTTTATTTAAGCAGACTAGATATGTCTGCATTTACCTCATGTTTTGGACAGCGGGGCTGGGGTTCAGTCCTTTTTTGGGGCCCACATCAGACATCATCAACGGGCTGACCCCAACACAAAGGCTCCTAGAAGCTGTCCTGCAGCTGACCCAGCCCAGTCATTTCCTCTAACCCATAAGAACCTCCTCACAGGTCATTTTAATTAGCATATTGTCTTGGGGCTGGGCCAGCCACCGGGGCCACTTTTGAATACACAGCATCAGGCTTTGTCAGAAATTAATAGCAAATCTCTGACCACCCTCCCTCGCTAGTGCCACTTAGCTCTTCCTGACCTTCACAGACAAACTACAGAGTAGAGAGTCAGGTTGTCTCTCCTCTCATCCCAGCGCCCCACCGGGCTGGCTCTCGTCCAGGGTATCAGAGACTCCCCTGTGACGACACCAAGAGCCCACTGTCATTTCTATGCTGTCGACTTCATTCTCCCTGGGACATTTCTGCCTCCGCTTCTGTGACACTGCATTTCTGGAGATCGCTGACTTCTGACTGCCTCTGGGTTTCCTCTGTGGGTGACTCCACCCATCCCCTGGACATGGATTCCCCCAGGGGTAATTGCCCTTAGTTTCTCTTCCCCCTCACCCTGGTGTTTGACCTGCCCCGCCCCGTGGATGCTGATGACTCACAATTTCAAGGTGCAGATCCGTACCCCGCATGCACACAGACTGTGCTGCATCCATGGCTTATGCCGCACGTCCCCCAGACTGTCCAAAAATCAAGCCATCTGCTGATTCCCCCCTTCAGCCTATGTCCCCCAGCTCAGCGAAGGGCATCCATCATCCTCCCAGCTGCCTGAGCCAACAACCCGGAGCTCCATCTCTCCCGGAGCTTCAGTTACGCTCCAAGTCTTGTAAATCCACCTCCTCAGCATCCTCAGCATCGCTCAGATCAGTACTCTCTCTAAGCTCCTGGCTACTTCTGCAGTTTAGGGCCGTAATTCACCTGGATTATTGCAACACCCCTCCCCTGGTCAGCCTTGCCTCCAGGCCTGGCCCCCAGCAGTCCATTACCCACCCCTGCAGCCAAAGCTGTTTTCCTGGGAAGCAAGTCTGATCCCATCCCTCTCCTGCTTCATCTTATTAGCTCCTCAAGATGAAAACCTGGGTTCTGAACATGTGATACGAGTTCCCTCCCTGTCTCTCCAATTCCAGCATTGACTGCCTGCCTTCTTGTTTATTCAAAAGTTTGTCCATTGGTCCACCCATGCCCCCACCAACAGGTATTTATTAAGTGCCAACTGGGTTCCAGGCTATTTACTCGGGCCTGGGCTTACAGCAGTGAGCAGACATGGTCCCTGCCTCTTGCAACATCCAGTCCTGTGCCGTGAGACGGGCCACCCTGAAAACAGTCATGCTCATATAAAAAATGCCCAGTCCAGTTGCTTATGAAGGAAGGAGAAAGACTAGGCTGCCATTTCAGAACCTGCCTCCTCTCCCTTCCCAGACATGTCAGGAACACACACGGTGGTCCCAGCTTCATAGTGGCTGGTGGAGAAGGGATGGGAGGCGGGCAGCAGGCAAGAGAGAGAGGAGACCAGCCCTTCCCCACGAGGGAAGGAGGTGGCTGCCAGCCATCTGCCTACACTGGGCTGCACGGGCGACCCCACCCCAAAAACACTTTCTCGCACTTCCCAGTGCTGCTTCTGGGGAGGTTCAATGTATCATGGTTCCCAAACCTAAGTGTCGTGCAGACAGGGCAGAGCTATTGGTTGCGAGTGCCGGTGGGGAGGACACCAGGTGGGGATGCTTCCGCTTGCCGGCAAGGTGGATGACTTCAGCTTTCTGGGACCCCAGGGGGCTCCCAGAGCCCTGACTCCAGTGACCATTGGCAGTTTCTGGCCTTGCTCTGCCTCCCTTTCCGTTCAAATGCCAAGGATTTCAGAGTGATCTCGTGAGGCTGTTCGGAGCCTCCCCCCAGAGCGCTCTCTCTCCGGCAGCAGGAGAGGGGAAGCAAGTTCTTACCAGGAAGAAGTGAAGCACGACCATCCATCCCCAGCCTCCATCCAGGGCCTCCGTGTAAGGAGAGCCCTTCCCCGCCCTCCGCGGCATGGCTGTGTCTGTTCTACGTGCAGACAATCCCTGCAATGAACCCAAGACATAGCTGTCTGGTTGGCAAGAAACAGATCGAAATGTTTAAACTTTTAGCCTACCTGCTTTGAAATTAGATGGTTTCCTCTCATACTAAAAGTTGTTCATTGACTCTCGAATCTCAGCCTCACAAATGCTCGCAGGACTTTGGACCACCTTTGGGGAGGTCTCTGCCAGTCATCGGCTGGCAAGTTCACGCGGCTTGATGTTTTACTCCAAGCGTGTCCTGAATTACATACAAAGTCTGCTTGATTCAAATTACCCCGATCCCCGCTTATTCTGTAACCACAGCGCAGGCAGAATCTTGGGGGAAGGAAGAAAAAGCTAACGACCAGCTGTGGTTTGAGGGACGTTGAAGCGGCCGTAGAAAAATCTCTGCCACTAGTTTGAATGGCAGCAAGATGACCACTCAGTGGTCCTGAAGGCAGGAACTTCAAAGGAGTTCACCACAAAGCCTGGCCTTCCCTATTGTGGGGGTGGCTGCTGCTGGCACCGTCCTCTGTGTCCTCTGGGTGAGCTGTCGCCTTTAGAGAAATAAAAAGGCAGGGCCACTCGGATTTAGGAATTCCATTTCCAAAGCACTTGCTACAGTGAAAATGGACACAACAGTGAAATGCAGTAACTTCCCTGAATGGGCCCTGGACCAGGAAAAAAAGTGGCGAAGGACTTTGGGAAGTCAGTTGGAAAAGTTTGAATATGGACTGTGCAGCAAAGTTAAGTCTCTTGGGTGTGATGATGGTCTTGTGCTTCCGCAGAATGTGCTAGAAAGTATTCAGGAGCAAAGTGTCATGGTCTGCTATCTTCTCACAAATGGTATAAAGAGAAAGAGCAAAAAAGGAAATGTGGGCGTTCTGAGGAAGGGGTCCGTCACTCTTTATTTCTTGCTGTCAGACTGGCAAATGAGCTGTTTCTCGCCAGAAAAACACAATCCACCCACCTGGCCTGTGGAATGGCTGTGTGGTGAATAGGCTGGGCTGGGAGGCAAACTGGCGGATCATTGAAAGCATTCTAGAAAACCACCCCCAACACACAATCCTATCCTGGTCTTACACGGAAGCCTTCGCAGGCAAGACACTCTGGGAAGAAAAAGAAACTCTACCGTTTTCTAGAATGTTACTCTTTTTCTAAGGCCGTTCATAGCACAGTGCTATGAAAACAAGTGAGCATTGTGAGAGTCCAGGATGTGAGAGCCAAGGTCAGCGCCCCTGCCAGTGGACTTGACTTCCTGAGGAGACTCCACACCCACCTGCCTTGGCCCAGGGCCCTCCCACCTCCCACCTCCCACCCCCCACCCTGACTCAGGGGGAGAGTGTTTCCCGGTAGGCCCGAAAGCCAGCATCGGAGTGAAAAACAAAGTAGAAAATCCAAGGAGCTCGTCACAGAGGCAGCTCTGGGGCTGTGGTGGCCTGCGGTGGCCTGCGGTGGCCCACGGTGGCCCACGGTGGGGCGGCCGAAGCAAACCCAGGTCTAAGCCTGCAAATGCTGCCACCGGGAGAAACCTGAATCTAAGCACAGCCCACCGCAAACAGCCAATGGGGCTTGGAGCCACAGCCAGCCAATCGTTTCCTTGCTTAGCCGCTCCCTCTTCTCTCTAAAAGCCTCTCCCCAGGCCCTCGATGGGGTGTTTTTAACTGAGTCCGAACTGCAAGTGGTTTGGTGCTGCCTGATTCAATTCAAACTGAATTTTGCTCAAATGAATTGCTTCAAGGTTTAAAAAAAAAATTTTTTTTTAGATTTTATTTATTTTTAGAGAGAGGGCAACAGAGGGAGAAAAACATCTATGTGTGGTTGCCTGTCACGTGCCCTCAAATGGGGACCTGGACCACAACCCGGGCATGTGCTCTGACTAGGAATTGAACTTGCAACCCTTTGGTTCACAGACTGGCACTTAGTCCACTGAGCCACACCAGCCAGGGTTCTTTCAAATTTTGATACACCTCAGTTTACTTCTTAACACTATGGTCAAGGCACATAACGGGACCCCAGGACTCTGAGACCTGTGCCTCTACTGTTCCTTGGAGACCTTGGGGACCTTGGGGACCTTGGGACGTGCATGTCTCGCAGGAGGAGATACACCCCCTCCCAGAGTGGCAGGTTCATTTCCTGGTTTGCAAATGGCCATGCTCAGGAAGTTCAGCCCATTTGTGTGGCCTTTTGTGTATTGGAGAAAGGACCTGGGGAGTAAGCTAGGGTTGTTACAGAGTGAACCATTCTAGGGCCTAAGACTGTTACTAAAACAGGTCCCTCCCCGGGGTCTTTCTGTACTATGGTTCTTTGCCTGCAGCCCTGAGGAACTGTGGCTCTCAATGCCAGAGTTTGGTAAAAGGGAAAGGAATTGTTTATTCGAAAGTTACACAGGTTTTAAAACATCGGTTTGGTGTGCTAAAAAAAAATGTTACACAGGTTCAGAGTAATGGCGGAATGTTGCCGTTGAAAATCTCAAAGTCCCTTAAAACACCCCCTCCCCACACACACAGAGTCCTGCCTTTCCTGCTTTGCCCCGTCAGGCCAGTCAGGGTGCCACATTTCAGGAAAAGAAATAGAGGCCTGTGTAGCTCGGCCAGACTCCCAGTTCCTCCCAGTTGTCCATGCTGGGCTGGCAGGTCCCCTGCTGTCCCCAGCACCACCAGCTGTGTCACAGCCAAGGTCTCCAGTTCTTAATCCAAACCCACGTGGTGCCTCCTCATGGCCCACCAGCGAGAGTCCCTTCACCCCTTTTCTTCCTGCAGAGTCTCCCACTGTCCTCCATCTGGAGTTGGCAGCCGCCTTTAGTTTAAATCCCAGCCTGAACCTCCTCCTTAGCCCCACTTCCTCCTCCTCCCACAATCGACTACACCTGCCAGCCCTCCCACTTTCTGCCTCTCTGGGCTGCCACAGTGAGTCTGGGCAGGTGTGGCCCTGTGGCTGGTCGGGCAGGTGTGATAAGGGGCTTGCCTTCCCGTTATATCATGGGTTTAAGTACTAACTACCTCCAGACTCCACTCGGGCTGGAAGCTGGCCTGCTGTGGATATGCAAAATAACTGTTTTGCATATGGATAGGAAGACTGGCTGCTGTCATTGATATGCAAAGTACCTCTCCCTGGCCCTGCCCCAGGTCTCCCCAGGCCCAGCCAGGCAGGCTTTGTAGGGGAGTGTGGATATCCTCTATTCTCGGAGACTCGGAGTTCTACACACCATTACAAATCCCCGCTTTGGGGGGCCCTGGGGCCTCCCAGCCTACACCTCATTACAGTTCCAGGCCCCATTTTAATTGCTGTTTTTTATACTTGATAACCTGAATACCAAACACCTCCCAGAGAAGGTGTATCCTTGAATTTTAACCAAACTTTTTCCTTATTGCATTTTGGAAATGGGTAAGGCTGAGTTCTCTGGAAAACTACTGGGACGATTCACCTTTACTCATTCCATTTCCTTCTTCTGTTCCACCGTCCACCTCAAAAAAAAAAAAAAGTCAACAGGAAGTTGCCTTTCATCTCCCAGCACCAGCATCTCAGGTCTCAAATCAAATTATTTTAGGCCAAAGTGTGTTTTTCTTGTTTTAGCTGGAAAAGCTGCACATATTTTTGCATGTTCCTTTTCACTTTATTTTTTTTAAGTCCTCACCCGCGGACATTTTTTTTTTCATTGCTTTTAGAGAGAGAGGAAGGGAGAGAAACATTGATGATTTGAGGGAGAAGCAATTGATTGTCTCCCGTACACGCTCAAACTGGGGATCGAACTGGCAACCTAGGTATGGGCCCTGACCAGGAATTGACCCCTTGGCGGCCTTTTGGTTTTGGGATGATGCTCCAACCGCCTGAGCTACAATGGCCAGGGCTATGGCTAGTCCTTTTTAAAAAGTAAGAGGCTCTCAGGCCCTTAAAACCAGACTCTCTGATACTTTTTGATGAACATGCGGGCAGAATCCCAGCTTCAGGGTCTGGGAGAGGCCTCGTAAGGGCAGTGACCGGGAGGGTGACACAGTCTCGTGGTGCTGGTGGTGAGGGCAGAACCAGCCTCCATTAGGAGGCGAAAGCCCGAAAGAGGGCAGGGCAACACCTTTCAGGTGTTAGGAACATACTCTAGAAAGGATTTTTGGTAGGACTGATTTGGTTTTTGGTGGCAGCTTGTTGCTTTCTCAAAGCCAGGCTTGCTCTGATTCTGATGACAGGAAGAGACGGGCTGGGCTTACATCCGTAGAGCTCTGCCCGGACGGCTGGATCAGATTCGGGGTCTGGCAGAGCAGCGAGTCGTTCAGAGGTGCGCAGGGGTGCAGAGTCCTCAGCGATGAGCACCCCTCAAAACAGCCTCCAGAGAAGAAGCTTGGAGGGGCAGTGGGAATGCAGGCGGGGTGAGGATCTCAGCTTTGTGACCTTTTAGGCCTGCAGACTCCTGGCTGGTTACTCCGTTTCCTCACCTGTAGGATGTGGCTAAAGTTACTCAGCACGTTTGTTGTGAGGACTGATTATCAACACGATGGCTGCACATTAGACCCACTATTGGTACTCAGGTCATTACACATGGTTATCAATCAGGAGGGGCCTAATATCAAGAGCAAAGGACCCTGGAGTCACCATCAAGATAAAAGCATTTTCATATCTGTGCCCATTTGACTGAATATAGCTTATAGGGTCTGTAACTAAACATAATTCCCTTAACCTCTGACCTTTTTTTCTTTTCTTTGTAAAAGATTTTATTCATTTATTTTTTTGGAGAGAGAGGGAGGGAGAAAGAAAAACATCAGTGTGTGGTTGCCTCTTGAGCGCCCTCTACTGGGGAATATGGCCTGCAACCTAGGCATGTACCCTGGCTGGGAATTGAACTGGTGACACACTGTGCTGCAGTCCAGTGCTCAGTCCACTGAGCCACACCAGCCAGGGCATTTTTTTTCTAAAGATTCTATTTATTCATTTTCGGGGAGGAGGGAGGGAAACATCTAGGTGCGAAACATTGGTGTGTTGAGACAATACTGGTTGCCTTTCACACGCCCCCAGTTGGGCACCTGGCCCACAACCCAGGCTCGTGCCCTGACTTGGAATCAAACTGGCGACCTTTCGCTTTGTTGGATGTCACCCAGCCCACTGAGCCGCAAGGGTCAGGGCTCCTTAACCTTTAACCTTCTAACTCTTGGCCTGAAAGCTATTTATTCAGCAAGAATTGCAGCCTGGTTTCCTAAGTCAGCACAATTACCCTCACTCCACTGTCAAATACAGCCCATGAATAACTTCTAGCATTTAGGGATGTAGAGTAGCCTCTAGCACTACCGTGTAGAATCAGATTTTATTTTTGGTTGGATCTTTCCCTGTCCTCGCTCCATCCTGGTGCAGAACAGAGGTATCACAGCTGCCTGACTCTCATTCTGTGCCAGGCTTGGTACAAGGTCACCCGGCCTTTGGCTGGCACCTGGGAGTTTAGGTTTGGGGAGGGTTTCCATCCTTCCCTAAATTGTAAGAGTAGGTCACTGTGCTAAACTATCTTGCAGACAATGTGGTTTATACCAAACACTTCCTTTCCTTCTGGGAGTCTAGAATTCTGAGCAAATTGTAGGGACAGAGTGGGATCGACTCCAACACAAAACCTTGGAGATTTACGAGGTGAGGAGGGGGAGAGAATGACTTACTCTAAGGAATTGGCTCGTGATTTCGGGGGCTGGGACGTCCAGGACTTGCAGTTTGGGGGTGCAGCTCCAGTCCGAGCCTCGGTCCAAATGTGGGAGATCCGTGTCTCAGGCTGCAGACAGGCAGGCGGAGACGAGAATCGTCCTCACTCAGCCTTGAGTTTGTGCAGGCTGTCAGCGGACTGGACGAGGCCCGTCACATGAGGAGGGCGATTTACTTAGTGCCCAGTTGACACAAAATTAACCTTCACAGGGGTGGTCTTTGGAAACCCCCGTATAACCCTCCTTCGGCTTCAGCTCTGAACAGACCGAAGACCAGCCATTTCCAGCCCTGACCTCTCTCCAGCTCAGGTCTTCCTGTTTCGTGGGCAGAACTGGGCGAACTGCCTCCTACCGCAACAGTCAGGGGTAAGCAAGAAGTTGATTTATTCGTGTCATTCAGTGAAGTTGCCTCCTGCCTCCTATGAGCCAGGTGCTGGACAGATGGGCGTGTGTAGGCAGAGGGTGGCATGAGACGGGGTACAGGGTGGGCTTGGGAGACCGCGGTAAGAGCACTGGGTTTTTGTTCACTGTGCGTGGTATGCAATGAGCACCTAACATGTTTGTTACTGAGCGCTGAGGACGTCCTGTCAGAATTTGCCTCGACAAGACCAACCTCAAACCCAGCCATCTTTTCCTCGTCATCCTTCCCCAGCTGATTTCGAAGGGACCCAGTTCTTATCTTCTAGATGGTTCTGAGCGCTGAGGACATCCCATCAGAATTTGCCTGGACAAGACCAACCTCAAACCCAGCCATCTTTTCCTCATCATCCTTCCCCAGCTGACTTCGAAGGGACCCAGTTCTTACCTTCTAGATGGTTCAATTATCTTTAATCGTTTTAAAAAAAGACTTTAATTTTTTTAGAGATGGGAACCATTCTGATGAGAACCAGAGGCTGAGATGATGGTCTGCACTTTCAAATGGTGTCCCCTCTGGCCAAGCTCCACAGCGGTCTGGCCGTTACGAGCACAGGTTACAGGCTGGACTCCCAGGTCCATATGGTGACGGCTGACCCCTTAGCCTCATAAAATGGGCAAAGAGGAGGAACTACCATATAGAGTTATCAATGAGAATTCAGGGAGCTCCTAGCATACAGGAAGTTCTTACTGATATTAGTCATTGTATTTTTATTATGAGGCAAGAATATGCTTAATTTAAATATCCACGGATGGGGGTTGGTTAGGGGATGGAGGGACTGAGCAAAAAGAGAAAGGACTCATGGGCAACAGTCTGGTAACTGTGAGGGGGTATACAGGGACTGACTAAATGGTAATGGAAAAGTAAAATAAAAATCATTAAAAAAATAAATAATCTACGGACACTTCTGTGAGAATGCATGTATTTCAGGAAGCTTCTGAAAGGAGAGGGTAATTTGAAGCAAAGACCTTTTTAAAAAAACTAAAACTTGGTAATTGTAAATATGAACACTTGGTAAGAGTTCTAGAGAATCCAGAAAAGATCCAAGCTTTCCTCCAACCACATTTATTGAACATTGACGAAATTCTATGTACAAAGTCACCTGCCGCTTTGAAACAGGGTCTTTCTCGCTAATATTTTGATAAAGTCAGCCCGCGGAGCGGTAACAGGCAACTCGCCCTGAACACAGTACAAAAGGGCCAAGAGCACAGTCAGGGAGTAGCCGAACTACTGCAGCCGGCACAGTGCGAGAGACAAGCCGCACGGAGAGGCGCAGCCCCGCGATGGCTGCGGTCGGGCTGCCGAGGCTTCAGGAGGCCATTTTGTGCACCGCCACGGTGACGCCGTCGTGCTTCTGGATCATGACGTTCCTGAAAGGGAAAGTGCACGACACTCGGTAAGATGTGCCAAGTGCGTGTCAGCGGAAAATCAGTGATGAAGCTTGGTTTAGGACACAACTAACACAATAGCATTTTTCTTTTCTTTCTTAATTTTTTTTTTAAAACTTTTAGAGGGGACGGGAGGGAGAAGAGAGGGAGAGAAACATCAATGTGCGGGAGATACTTTGATCAGATGCCTCTTGCACGTTCCTTACTAGGGACCTGGCCAGCAACCCAAGCGTGCGCCCTGGGAATCAAACCAGCGACCTTTGGTTCACAGGCTGGCACGCAATCCACTGAGCCACACCAGCCAGGCAGCACTTTTTTCGATGTATAAAAGCAATATACGAACACTACAAAACAGCTGGGACTACAGAAAAGGACAGACTACTCAAGTGAAGTGAAGCCTATGCCTGAGCACTCCGGTTTCATCTGCACGTGTACGTCACGCATCTCCTCTCCTTCCAGACTGCGATGACACCGCACACACTGCGTCCTGCTCTCAGACTTGGAGCAGCTGCTCCCGTTACTACAGAAGTAGTTTCTGTTCTTTGACTGGTCTCCCTCCATTTTTCTTTTTTTTCTCGGTGGACTGACAGTTCACGACAATTCTTCCTCTTCATGTGAGTGTCGCTGTCATCTATGAAAGTGCATGGGCTTCAGAAACCAACCTGCCTGCGCATGCGGCCCAAGGGTGGAGACCCCTCACAGCCCGCTGCACGGAGAGTCACCGGGAACACAGGACAGGCCCCGGTCAGGTTTCCCGGGGACTTTCTGACCAGAAAGGAGAGGAGGGACCTGCTGACGCCTACTCACCCGTTATCTGACTCTAGACACACCACAGGAACATCAGTGGGGTCCGAGGTCAGCTTGGCTGCCTGCTGGGCCAGAACGGACACCACCCCGGCATGCTCGTCAGACAGGGTCCCGCGGCCTGCAAGACACAGAGGAGGACGTCGTGCTGCCTGGCTGCCCTGAGGTGAGTGCAGCGCCGTGGCTGTCCCTGTCCCCGAATCATTCACAGAGTTCAGTTCCAGGTCTCCTCGGTTAGAAACTGACGTGAAGTGATTCTGCACTCAGGTGCTTACATCCTTGAGAGAGCCGGACTTCGGTCCTCAAATTAATGAAGCCATGACCGACACTCAGTTTCCAGACATTCCCATCACCACCTCTAAACGCCTTTTCCAGCATAGAAGGAAGCTGTAATTCAATCAACCTGAAAGCCATAAACTCACTTTATAGGACTTGCTGAAACCAACAAGAAAGTCAGAAGTGAGATGGACAAAAGGCGGTCGGCAAGGGCAGGAGACGTGCTGAAACTAACTCCTCCTGTGAAATCTGCTTTCCCTTCGCTGAGCTCAGCCTCAAAGGGTATGACAGTCTTTACTCGGGCTCAACGGGAAGACCACCTTGACGGCGTGTGCGGACTTTCCGAGAGCAGTTAGTTCACCAGAACAAGCTGGCTGGGTTCCAATGGCAACAAAATCAGCTTTTTAAAAAAATTTTTATTTATTTTTAGAGAGAGGGGATGGGAAGGAGAAAGAGAGGGAGAAAAACATCAGTGTGTGGTTGCCTCTTATGTGTCCCCCACTGGGGACCTGGCCTGCAATCCAGGCATGTGCCCTGACTGGGAATCGAACTGGCGACCCTTTGCTTCACAGGCCTGAGCTCAATCCACTGAGCTACACCAGCCAGGGCCAGAATTTGGCTTCTTATTGTGTTTCAGCCTATAAATATAATTAAATCTCGGGCAGCAGGTGCAAAAGAGGAATTATTCACTTTACAATATATCTGCATATATAATGGTAACACAAGCCTTATCTGCCCGAAACTAAGACAGGCCTGTGGCCGCAAAACACAGGGATGTCTGTACACTGCCCTACAGACAGCGCAGCCTTTCAGGGCCTGTAGGTTTCCTCACTTGAATTTCCATTCCTGAGCCGGGCAAGTGCCCCACCCACCTTTTCTCTCCCAACACGCTGTGCTTGCAAAACCTGAGTTACACAGACAGATTACTCTCCAGTCACCCTCCCAGCAAAAGTTCATTTTTCAAAAAGCCCGGCAGTAAAGAGGAGTCCTGGGCCAAATAGTTCTGGCATCAATCAGCCAAATGTGTTATTATTTATTTAACTTTCCAGATTCCTTTCCTCATCTGTAATTGTCATCATCTATTGACATGACAGCTGGGTTGTGTGCTGTGTTTGACACACACTATATAACCTTATAACACTGTGATGAAGCCAGACTCAAATCCCAACTGAACCACTTCACCTCTTTATCTACCTCCTGTTACAGGGATTAAACAACTTCATACACATAAAGCACTTAGAGTGGTGCCTGGCACCTAGTAAAAGCTCAGTAAACGCAATTCAATAATTACTACATTATTAAACAACTCAGTGAAGAAACTGAAGCTCAGAAAGGTTCTTTCTGGGCCAAGCAAATAAATGGAAGAGCAGGGAGCTGAACCCAGGTGTGTCCAATTCCGAAGCCAAATTTTTACTGCCTCCTCACTTTTTTGAGTGCAGACTAAAAAACAGTGCCCTGCAGGATGGATGTGAAAACTGGAGATTAGTATTCGAGGCCCAGCAACGCCAGCAGCCCGCACACATTCAACCCATTCAACTCAACTGCTGTCATTACCGGAAGTCCTTTCCCATCCATTTAAAAATAAGTCAAACTCTACTTTGGCAAAAAACAACTGTGTAGTGCAAGGAACGTTTCTACCTTCATAAGCACCAAGCGAAAAGTTTTCATTTTCTAATCTCGTTTTTTGGAGGTAATCTCTACTCTCACAAAAGTAGCCACAAAGTGGCAGCCTAGCAGCGTGCTGACTACCCGTCAGCATCCAATGCTGTGCCACCCATCGAAGCTGGCGGCGATACTTACAGCCCAGGTTAAGCCCTTGCGAATCTGTGCACAGGACTCCAACAATGGATGGATTCTTCATTCTAATTCCAGAAACAAATGGTGTGAAAAAAATGAATTTAAATATCCCAGCAACACACACACGCAGTCTACACACCAGGGATTGTTACAAGTGCTATATAAACCAGTGTTCTTAACCTTTCTTTCATTATCGCCCCCCACCCCACACACCCGAGAAAAATTAACTTAAATAGTTCATCCAATTTCTCCTTGATGATATATCTAGAATTCTGCTGCCCTCGTTGAAAACGCATGCTTTAGTGTGCTAACCCACTCAAAACCACCGCTGAAACACGCAAGCAACACGGCTCCCTCCCGGCGGGGCTGGGACGCTGAGGGGCAGGGGGGCGACGGAGGTGTTTCCCTGCACGCCTTCTTACTCTGAATTGTACGGAGCTAGTCCCCGTTGAAAAACTAAAGGGACGTCTTTCATTCTTCATCACCAAGTAACTGGTCACACACGGAAGGAGAAGCGTGCGTGTGTTTACGTTTACAGGCGAGGCTCGGCGGCACCAGTTGCACTTCCTTTCCCCAAATTAACCCATTTCCTGAACCTCGCGCACAATGCCCCAGTCCAGAGACAATTTCAACGTGAACGGCGGTTCAGGGCTCGGGCCGCGGAGGCCCGCTCCGGAGGGAGTGCGCGGAGCCCCGCGACATATTAATTCCGGGTTAACAGCCCCCTGCGGCCCCAGAGCTCGATTCACCGCCGGGCCCCGCCGCTTGGGGGTCCCGCGGTGTCCTCAGGCCACCCTACAGGCACAACTCGCCTTTGTCCCGCTCAAGTTTCCCCGCCGCGACCTCACGACAGTCCGAACCGGCCGCACCACTCACGTGTCCTCTAAGTGCTGCTCCAAAGTCGCCTCCATCCGGCCAGGAGTCCGGTTCCTCCTCCTCCTCCAGCACTAGCCGCCAGCACTAGACGGTCACAAGACACAAATGGGGCGTGCGCAGGACGGCGCCTCCGCAGGGTCAAACTTTGCCGCGCAGCCGCCGCGTTGGGAACCGGAAGCTCTTACTCCGTTCCAACCGCCCGAGCCCTGCAGAGTCCCTGCTGCCGGAGCATCAAAAGGCGCTCCGGCAGGTTTCTACCGACCACTTTGCGTTAGGGATGTGACCATGGCATTCCGATTCAATAGACCCCAAAATGTCCACCAGATTTTTTGTTAGTTTTACCGTGATGCAGTGGTCAGGCAGGGTCTGCGCCAGGGGCTAGGTCAGGTACCTAAGAAGAGACACGGGGCCCCATGAAGGGGTCCACGGGTTTGGAGGGGAAGCGACAGGCACACGGGGCTAGAGGATGAGGTGGAACAAGGTGAAAACCCCCGCTAAGTATGGGGAAAGTGTCGTGATTTTAACCGAGACATTGGTTCTTTTTTTAGCAAGGGTTCAGGACAGGTTGGGAAAGAAGGTGGCATTTGAAAAGAACACGAGGTAAAATAACTTAGTAGCTTTAATATTAATTATAAAGTAGTTGTAAGAATAAAGAAAGCCACTAATAGTCTGCCCAGAGATTACTGTTAATCTCTTGGACAATGTCCTTTCAGCCCATTGTTTTTGCAAATGATACACTTTTAATTTTTTTTTCATTTTTAAGTGCAACTGACACACTGGGCATACAATTCTGTAGCTGGCCCTTTCCACAGAGTTTGGCATAAATATCTGTCCACATTTGGTAAATCTTTATTTACATCCTTTGTAACAAAAAATATTCCTTTATAGCCGTACCTTACTGATTTAACCAGTCTCATATTAACGTGCAGCTGGGTTGCTTGTGATTTTTGCCTATAGTGCTTTCCTAGCTGTGTTAGGGAAACTTGCCGCTTCCTTAAAATTCTAGTCTTTGAATTTTAGAAAAAAGACAGCACTAGACAATATAAGGAGCCAGCCTGCCTCGTGCTGAAGTCCTGCCTGAGGCAGCTCGGCGCTGCAGTACTGCCCCCTTGTGGTCCAAGGCGGTGCAAAGCTTTGCAGAGCTAGGGCGTCCCAGCTCCTGCTGATTGACGTCCAGGGCAGTGACGTCCAAGAGAAATGTTATGTGAGCGACATCTGTAATTTTAAATGATCTGATAGCTACACTACAAAGTAAGACAGGCGAAGTTAATTTTAATAATATCTTATTTTTACTGATTGATTTATTTAAGAATTTATTTTTCAGAGAGAGGGAAAGGGAAGGAGAAAGGGAGAGAAACATCAATGTGTGGTTGCCCCTCGCACGCCCCCAACTGGGGACCTGGCCTGCAACTCAAGAATGTGTCCTGGCTGGGAATCAAACCAGTGACACTTTGGTTCACAGGCCCGTGCTCAATCTACTGAGCTACACCAGCCAGGGCTAATAATATATTTTATTTATCCAATAATATGTTCCAAATATTACCATGTCAACATGTAATCAATTTAAACAATACCATGAGATATTTTACATCCCTCCACCAATACACACTCTAAGTCTTCAAAATCTGGTTTCTGTTTTGCACGGACAGGACATTTCAGTTCAGACTCGCTGCATTTCAAGGGCTGACAGCCACATGGGACTAGTGGCTGCCGGGTTGGCCAATGCAGCTCCAGGGTATCTCTGATGATCTCGAAGCCAGATCAATGATGAAAAGATTCCCAGAAGAGCTGATGGGCACAGGCTGAGCTGTGAGGAAGGCCTCTGAAAGGGAAAAGAGCATCAGGAGAGGCTGACCAACAGCCCAGCCATCCCCCTCACCATGCTGGAGAGGGAGGGAAGCCGGCCCCCCCCCCCCCGTTCCCTTTCTCTGCCCAGTTTTGCCCTCTTACCCCAGGGCAGTGGTGACAGAGGAGCCAGGTGGCTCATCTAAGTGAGGGAAGTGCCGTGGAATATTCCAGGCTGATGACTGTCAAGGCTCAGTTTTGAGAGCTGATAACCATTTCTGGGGTGACAGGGAAAGTCCCCCGACTCTGACGTTAGAGTGTGCCCCTCACTGCATTGTCGTTGACATGTTTAGTTTTCAAAGAAGGGAGGACAGTCTTCTATGCTTTTTCACCTGGGTGTTGCAGCACTCAGTAGGAATCCACCTGGTTGGCATTTACTGAAGGATCTTGGCGGGTCTTGGGAATGGACTCTGTGTAAGGTAAAAAACCTTTAGGTCCCAAACTTTAACCAGCTTGATATTCTTTTTCTCCCCTCCTGAAAAACAAAAGCTCTTGGAAGATGGCAACCCCAGGAGCGCCTAGCAGAGGGTGCCCGCCAAGGCCTCGGAAGACCCTACCCAGGCCGGAGGGTGCCAGGTGCCTGAGCTGGTGAGGCTCGAAGAGGAGGCCCTGTGCTAGGTGGTGGCCTCCGAGACAGACAGAGCTACGGTCGTGCGCTGGCTTCACCACTGCCTGCCTGTGTGACCGCTGAGCCTCGGGGACTCATCTGGGACATGGGGGTACCATTACCTGCCTCATCAGGTTGCGGGGAATTTATGTAAGAGGGGCTGGTGCATTGTGGGAGTCAGTAAACGAGCTTTGCTAAATCTGACTCAGAAGATTCAGATTGTGTCCTCAACTCGCGTACAGTCCTGGTGAGGACACACAGGAGAGAATCACCGACGGCTCCACGAAGGCAGGAGCCCAGTGATGGCCAGGGTCCTCAGGAGGGCCAGTGTTCGTGGGAGAGTGAGACCTCGGGGCTGGCCTCGGGTTGCTGCTCCAGAGTGCTGTGTGTACGAGATGGCTACACTGTTTGATGCAATTAAAGATTACAACATCACCTGGAATCCTAGCCAGAGCCCTAAGGATGTGAGTGTGAATGAGCTGAGCAGAATGGGGGAGGATCTGGGGGCGGTGGGGGCGGGGAAGACACGGCAGACGTGTCATGAGAGTCTCGCCAGTCTAAGCACGTCACTCCCTGGCAGCCACCAACGGGGCCCAGGGCTCCCCGAGAGCTGAGTCCCAGACCCACGCCAGACTCCTGACAATGATAACAGTGGCATTGCTGTTAGCAGTTCACATATGTGGAGGGCCAGCCAGGGCCACGCGGTCAAAGTACTATCACTGCCTCCGTTTGCAGTTTAAAAAGCCCTGAGGCTCAGAAGAACTAACTTGCTGGAGACCACCCTGCTGGCAGCGGTGCGGCCTCCCCAGGACCTCCCCCCCCCCAACACACTGCCTCAGCTCCTCTCACTTCATTGGTAGCCCAGCCCTGTGGAGAAGTGGGAGGGTTTGGAGGCCCGGTCCTAATCTCCTAGTCTTTGTTTAAAATTTTATTTTAAAATTTATTGATTTGAGAGAGCAAGAGAGGAAGAGGAGAGAGGGAGAGAGACAGACAGACAGACAGACAGAAAGGGAAAGACATTGATTTGTTGCTCTAATTCAACGCATCTAGTTGATGTGTTCATTGGTTGCTTCTTATATGTGCCCTGACCGGGGATCAAACCCGCAACCTTGGTGTATTGGGACGATGCTCTAACCAACTGAACTACCTGGCCAGGGCCTAGATCTCTTATCCTCTAGAGAAGAAACCTGAGGCTCAGAGAAGGGAAGCGGCTAATTTATTTGTTTATTTATTTAAAAAATAGTTTAACATTTTTATTTTTAGAGAGGGGGAGAAAGGGAAAAAGAGGGAGAGAAACATTGGCTGATGCCCCTCCTACGTGGGGAAGTGGCTAATTTAGAACTTCAACCCGGATGCTTAGTCTTCCCTCGCGTGCTCTGACTATATTGTGCCTCGGGGGGGGGCTGAGTTGGAGCCTTAGTTAGACCCGTGACAGTGACGCTCATTGTTATGGGTTGAACTGTGTCTCCCCCAAGTTCGAGTGTTGAAGTCCGAGCCCCCAGTGCTTCTGAATGGCACTTGGTTTGGAAATAAGGTCTCTGTCGAGGTAATCCCATTACAGTGAGCACATTAGGGTCGGCCTTGATCCCATGACTGGTGTCCTTATGAAATGAGGGAGTTTGGTCACAGAGGAAAAACCGGGACGAGGCCGAGGGAGAAGCCGGCCATCTGCAGGCCGAGGAGAGAGGCCTGGGACAGCCCCTTCCCTCGAAGCCAGGGAAGGAAGCAACCGGGCCAGCACCCCAAGTGTGGACAGCTAGCCCCCAGAACTGAGAGGCAATAAATACATTTCTGTTGCTTATGCCGCTCCGTTTGTGGTGCGTTGTTATGGCAGCCATGGGAAGCTAATGTACAGGAATATCAATACAGTCTACCAGTCAGAGTCGCTGGCTGGGAAATCGCGAGCACTGGGCGGCCCTTCTGTGACAGAAAAGCTGGTTGGGAGGGGCACCCTCCCAGAGGCAAAAGGGTAGAGCAGGCAATCTGCCCAGCTCGCTCCCAACCTTGATGCTGGGCTAAGATCTTTTTCCGACATTGGCCAACAGGGGTGGCACGACCCATTAGGCTGTGACCTCGAGTCTGGTGTACGCCCCTGAGCCTGGCCGGTGGAAGACGCCCGCTAAGTGTGTGGAGGGACACTCCGGGCCGCTCTGATCCCAGCTAGAGCTGACCGCCGAGCTCCAGTTCTGGGAGACGCCAGCAAAACAGCCCTGACAGGACTCAGGGTTGGCGAAGAAGTTCCGGGGCAGGAAGCTAGTGTTCTGCTGCTTTATTCATTTTGCCGTTGAGGAAAAACGCGATGCAGACTTCCACACCTAAGTCTTCATCAGCTGCCCTGTTAAGTGCAGCCGAGACAAATCGCAGCAAAGCTCTTGTGAATAAAGAAAAGATTAACCGAGTATAAAAAATGGGAGAGCCGAGAAAAGAAAATTTAGTGGAGTTGCAAATATACCTTATTCTTAATTTAGCTGTCTGCATGACACATCCAATCGGCCTCAATGCTAAGATTTATTGCCCTGGGAATTATGCAAATCAAATAATCGCCTGAGAATGAATGGAGAAGAATCACCCGTGTCAGCACGTGTTGGCGGTGCAGACCCGCGCATGGGTGCTTGTGGGTCCCGGCGGATTTGCAGAGTCTGCCGGTCGTCGCC